AAATTAGGTTGGAAAATGTGTGCAATCAAACGCACCCTTAGTAAAAATTTTACTATGTTTATTGCAGTTGTGTTAAAAATCCTCAAACAAATTTCTAATTGGAATATGGTAGAGCTTTAGATGAATGTTAGATAGAAGAATGTGGCTTCATATATTATATGGGAGGATTCCTTAATGGCGACTATCTGTGCCGATTAAATGAAATTGTGATAGCTAGCTATATTTAATTAGACTCAATATGTCATATTTATGGAAAGTCTCAATGTATATATGTCGAAGACATAATATCATTAAGAATTGATCTCATATGGTGTAAACTCATGGATCCACTAAGAAATAATTTATCGAGAGATCAAGTATACTGTAGATCGAGGGGAATGGGCTTAAGACCTACCATGTAAGGATCTTTATAATGATAACCCAACTTTGTTGACCGAAGATCCCAAAATCTTGGTTCAATGAGACAACTAAGTTATGAAGATTTAAAAACACTTTGGAGTTAACTCCTATCCATTCCTAAGGTAAGAAAAGTACTATCTACAGAAAGTTTAGATTAAATTATACTTTTAATAATTCCTATATCTTAAACTATGCAAGTGGGGTACGTCAGATATTTAAGAATATCATCTCTATAAGTGTGAAGTGGGGCAACTTCTATTAGAATTTTTAAAGGCTTCAATTCTCTAAAAACTTATAGAACCCAAGAGCTACTCAGAGCCAAAACGAATACAATAGCAAGAACTTGAAAGTGTTAAAGAGGTTATTGTGTAAGTATTATTGTCTTGGTTTACATCAATGGCCATAGTTTAAGACATCTCGTTCACTGATTTAGCCAAGTAAATCTGATAGTATTTCACTACGAAAGATTCAAACCCATAAGGTACTTATTCAGATGCAATAGCTTTCCACTTGAATTCTCTTTAGCGTCTGCATAGTCATTTACATTGATTTTCAGTCATGTGGGAAAATGTTGAAAATTTGTATGTGAAATTGATTTTGACCAATTCTTAATTATTTAAGTAGAACTTGTTATTTGGTAAATGAAAAATTAATCATTCCAAAACTGTTGTGGTCGTTGCTCCAAATGTTGTACAAAAGTACTCTATACTTTTTCACTACTCGTACAAGATTTCTGAACTTGAGAATCATCTAGTCATACTCTCTAGTTCTTCGGATTGGACAATAGAGCTTGAGTCCCCATAGTGCATTTCCCTACATAGTCTGTAGAGTTATTTTTCACTAAGAAGGATTGAGCAAGCCAGTATAGTTCTGACCTAATCTTTAAACATTTATAGTCCTGAAGCCCCTACTCTTCCTAATTGGGACGGATCCAATTTGGCAAATGAAAAATTTGCCCTCCATCTTCCAGCTCTGGGGAGTGTCTTTGAGCTCGGCAACCTCTTTGGGAGCTTTGTTTGCTGTGGCACCAGATATCCGAAGGTATTGAAAGAGCAGCTGTGAGAAGCGGAAAACCCATCAAAAAATGAAGATTGTTCTCGTGTCAATCGAATGGGAAAAGTTCGATCCTCTTTTTTTTGCTTTGGATAGATCTTAATGGCAAAGTACTCATTCCGAGCGATTTAAATAACTTAGATACGTGAATTATTGAAACATTGTGTAGAATATTATAAAATATTCTAGAAATTAATTGGCTGACAATATGCGTCTTTCCATATGAAAGATTATGACTTTTGCCATTATCATTTTTTAAGAAACGTATCTTTTCAATTATAGAGACTAATTCCAATAGTTATGTCTCTTTCATAAATTGTGTCTTTTAAGACAAACCTTTTTAACAGCCATATAGAGACATATATGTTTTGTTTTCGTTCATCCATTCACTTCATGTTGCATTTCACACTAATGTATTTTCACTTCAAAATTCTGCATTTACGTGGAGTCGAGTTTCATATAAAGAGGGTTTAAAACATAAGTAAGTTCGTTGGTCTATGCAATTTGAAGGGCTCCTACTATGAGCTGTGGTTGTTGCATCTTGAGAGATGAATATCGAAAAATCGTTACCACCTGTGCGGGACATTATCGTCTTAAGGAGAAATAGTTGAACTTTTGTTTCGACCAAATTCATATTCATGCATTTCTTGTTTCTAATTGACATATTCGATTTTGGTAAGCTAAACTTTTGTTCGATTTTATGCACATAAAATGTAAGTTATTTGAATATAATTTATGCAAGTCTGTTTTTCCAAACAAAAGATGTGTGAAATTTGTAAAAGATGTACATTTTGTGCTCTTTTGCCATTGTTTGAGCCCCCTTTTTTCCATTAAAATGCATTATTGAATAGTGATTTGACTCAATTTCAATCATATTTTTTTTCAACAAATTAATATTACACGCAAATTTAAAATTTTTCCTTATTTTTTAACTACACATTTTTCGTCATAAAATTATTACAAAATGCATTTTTTGAAAAGAATGTGATTCATTGTATTCAAATATAAATTGTCTGCACTCCATGGCATTTTTCAAAATAAACATTCAAGGCAACCAAATTATTCAAATTGGAAAAATTCCACAAAATCAGTCTTTTGCTGGAATTAGCTATCCTCAAATTCGAGAAAACGACGCTACACTTTGATAGCATTGTTATAGTCATTGTAGGTAGAACATACTTTTTAGCACAAAAATGACAAGGTCGAAACCTAATTTAAGTGGTAAGAGGACAAAAATATTAGGATAAAGCCATCAGTACAGAATTTTTTTTTTTTATAGAATTTGTATCGAAACTGATGTGGTAGTGTGCGATAGGACTGTTATTTTTTATTTTCTTATCACGTTCCAATGATGCTTTGTTAAGTGTTATTTGTAATGATTTTCTGTAAAAAAATTCTCTAACTATAGCACGACTCAAAACGTTGTTACACATTTGTGGCTTCTACGTTTTTATTTTTCGTTATTTTTTAATTTAAATTGGGTAATATACTAGTTTTGAAACTTTTCCGTAGCAGGACAAAAAACGTCATACCGATTTGGCCGAACGAGATCGAATATCACTTCCCTTTAAAATATAATTTATTTTTCTTCACAGTCACATACTGACGGATGAAAATTCTCTCTAACTGACTCAAACTTTTGAAATTTTTTTCCCCTGTGCTTTTTCAGAATTCCGATGAAGCAGATCCTAGGTGTTGGATTCGATCGCTGGATATTATAAGTGCA